GGGGGGGGGGTGTTGTTTTTTTAATTTCTGACCAATTTTTCACATGTAGTATGAAAACAGGTTGGCATTATTTTCCATTTTTATTTTGCAAGGTCCTCTCCCCTTCTGCAGTGCGGATTCTGTTTCAAGACAGAAAGTCCAGAATGACCCACTCTTTCTGTTTTCCTCTCCCTTTTCATCTACCTCAGTTTCCTTCAGCGAGACCTTTCTCCCCTATAACCTGCCAACGGGTATTTTGTACTTAGTACTTTAAAGCAGTTTTCATCCTAAGCTCTGTGTGGAGACAAGTCACAAGGGGCAATGCCTTCTGGAGACATTCATGCTGAGTAATCTCATTTTGCATCCTGCCAGCACAAATGGGCTTATTCAGTATTAGGTCACATTTGTTTTTTCTGAACAAAAGCCAGAATAAACGGGCTCAGTGACATGGAGAGCTCAGCAGCATTAAAATACCCCAGGATCCAGCCTCCGCTGGCTCTGGTGAGGATGCTGGTTAGTGCTCCTGGTGCTGCTTCTCCAGCCTGGGGGGGCTGAGCAGCCTTTCCTTGCCTTGTAGGCAGGGATCTGTGGGGACGGTGGGACATACCACCCACTGATTTTCCCTGTCAGGAGTCAGAGTGGTCCTTGCACAGAGAGCCAGGAGCCCTTTTCTCTCCCTGGGGGTGTTTCACTCCCCTGCTGAGGACCTAAGCCATGGAGAGATACTCTGTCCTGGATCGGTCCATGCCAGGGAGCTGGTCCCAGCCTGCATCCAGCAGGTTAGATTGAACAGGGATAAGTAGGTCTTTGCTAATCTGACTCATTTCAGTTGCCCAAACCGGAGCGGTCCTCCCTGCCAAGAGGGGAGGTGGGTGGTCACAGCTCTCTGCAGACTTTGATCCTGTTACCCTGAGCAGCACCGGCATTTGGGGTCCCCGCACGCTGGCTGTACGCAGCCTCCTGTAAAATTGAGCTGTCACCTTCCTTTAGAGACCAAATCTTCAGGCTGGCCTTGGGCTCCTGGGGGAAAAGAGCTGTGCTTGGCAAGGGTGAGCGCTTATCTGCTGGGACAGCTGGAGCAAGTGGGCAATACCCTCTGAGGCATCCGACATAGGAATAGAGAGAGAGGAATATAAATAACCACATATTTAGTAGGAGACACAGTCAAACAAACATGATTGCAAAACTGTTATCAGGCTGCTGACATGGGGATTTGTTGGTTTTCTGTGATACTCACTGAAGGGATTATAAAAGTCTTTTGCAGATCTCCAGCACAAGCCGTTGCTCGTGGATCTCACTGTAGAAGAGGGTCAGAGACTGAAGGTTATCTTTGGATCACACACTGGTTTTCATGTGATTGATGTAGATTCTGGGAACTCTTATGATATCTACATACCATCTCACGTGAGTACACGGGGGAGTGCTGCTGCGTGACTAACGCAGGTCACCAGCAAGGTTTGGACCTTGGTGGCTCAGAAATGGTGACCAGTCAGGTGACATCTTGCCATGGGTATGACATTCTCCAGTGCCATCTTCATTAATACTCACTTAAAGAGGACTCGGGAGTATCATATATACTCATATTCATTATTTGCACAGGCTATTTCTGTCCTCGTGCCCGAGCAGTCAGGTTTAAGGTTGCCATGTCCCACAGAAAGGAGAATCTGCTGCACAGAGCAGTAACGGAGCTTTCTGTAGTGCAAGATACCATGAAACCTGGTTCTTTGTTGTTGGACAACATAGACCCACCAAGAGCTGGATGCCCAGCACACTGTCCCATTGCATGGTGTCCCAGATGTGCTCTTTTTTTTGCTGAGGCAGTGCAGTTTGCCCAGGCAAGGGTTGCAGGATTAGGGTGGCCCAAATCTCAGTAAGCCTGCTGCTCAAAACTCCCAAACCCCCTGACAGCAGGGACTCACCACAGGACCTCTCTCAGGTCCATCAGCTATTTCAAGAGAGAACCAGTGCTACAAAAAATACTGTAGTTGAGGGTTTTCTCGTTGGCTCATTTAAGCTCCATCCATGCTGTTGGCCAAGCAGCATGAGGAACTGGTCTAGGAGAAACTGGGTCACTAATCAAATCCAGGAACTGCTGAATCTGATCTGAGCAGCAGAGCCGCCTCTGCGAGAGCCAGCAAGAAGCATAGGGAGAAATACTGGGACAGTTTGGGATGGTTTTGTTGTCTTAGCTATGGAAGGGCAGACGTGGGTGGAAAGTCACTGTAGCTGCCCTTGGAGCTAGAGACTGATTGCTCAAAAAATGGGAATATTTCCTCCCTAGGGTTACCTGTAAAATTTTGGGTTCATTTGCCTTAATTTGAATAGGAGATGGATTCATCAGTCAGCAGTCGCTTAGTGTCAGCCATCAGTCTTGGGGGCGTATATGTTGTGATCTCTCTGTAATTGCTGAACCTGTTTATCCGTGGTGTATCAGACAGCTTTGATCGTAGGGTAAACATGACAGTTTATTCCCCTTCAAGCCTATCTCTGAAAGCCAATGCCTGTTTATTGGATCGAGGGAGGGTTTTGTTCTCGAGTTGGTTTGGGATTTTGTTTTTCTAAGGCTCTGCTCCCTTCCCCCTACCCCTTCCTCCATTCAATGTAATTCTGACTTTTAGGGTTTATTTTAACTGCAGATTCAGGGCAATATTACTCCTCACGCCATTGTCATCCTGCCTAAAACAGACGGGATGGAGATGCTTGTGTGCTATGAGGATGAAGGCGTATATGTGAACACCTATGGACGGATAACTAAAGATGTGGTGCTCCAGTGGGGAGAAATGCCTACTTCTGTGGGTAGGTCAACCTTCCTCTTCACCTGCATAAAATACAAATGACGAGTAAGATGAGGAGTTGAGGATGCTAAGATGGAGTCATTTGGGCTGTTGTTTATCAAAGGAGATTTCTCTCAGCCAGATAAGAGATGCAATTGCTAAATTCCTACGATTTGGTCCTGTGCAATAGGAGCGAGTGACTTCTTGAAGATTTGAGCTCTGGTTCATCTTAAGTATAAGAATATAAGCTGTTGCGCTGGTGCGATACTGTGTTGAGTGGAAGAGGGGCTGAGTGCGGAGCTGGGAGCACTTGGGTTGCTCTTCTGGCTCTACTGTTGCTCAGCTCCATGACCCATGGAAGCAAGCCACTGCCCAGCCCCTCACCCACAGAAATCGGAAGAAGTGATACTTCTTCTGTTTAAATTACTCAGCAATTTCTGGATGAAAAGTGATGTAGAGGCTGTTATCCCTGCGGGCACACGCCTGGCCGCCTGAGCCTCCAGCAGTCAGAGCTCTGCCGTTGATCTACATACGCTTTGAATAACAGCTGATGAGAGCTTTTCTGCCTGTTGCGTAATATTTAGCTCAACACACGTTGTAACACCTACCAAACGCTTCCTTTTGACAGCCTACATTCATTCCAATCAAATAATGGGCTGGGGAGAGAAAGCTATTGAAATCCGGTCAGTGGAGACGGGACATTTGGATGGAGTATTTATGCACAAGCGAGCTCAAAGGTTAAAGTTTCTATGTGAAAGAAATGATAAGGTAAGTCCACTTCAAAGCTTGTATCCATGCTTTAAGCTACAGCCAGCTACTTCTAGACTTTAAGTCTTGAGGTTAATAATTAACCTGAAGGCCCTGTTAAATAAGCAGTGCCCATAAACCCACTCCCAATGAATTCTCTCCAGTGGATGCAGACCTCAGCTTGTGGTGGGAAGATGTGCAAGATCTCTTCCACCTCAAGCTGTGATCTGCGTTGACTTGGCTTGACTTTCTCCCAAGTCTGGCATCTGAACAGTAACTCTTGAGCCTGCCAAGTAAACTCTGCAAAAGCTGTGAAATGGTAGCACTAAGGATGTGTAAGTGACCCCGATTTGAGCGCTGGTGCAGAAACATTTTGATGCATTTTTAGTTTTGTGATCTTAAAACTGTTTTCTCCATGGAGCCCCATCTTTTTCGGTGGACAGCATTGGTAAATACTGCTCTGGAGGGGCACCAGAGCTGCACGGGGAAGGCGGCTGTTGTGTAGATGACCCCTGCCACGAGTGTTGCTGATGGGCAAGGGCTGCAGGGAATGAGGGAAGGAGAAATCGCTGGAGGAAAAGGAGTATTCACCTGGAAGATGGTTGAATGCCAAGTTCTGTTTCTGCTATTGGTATTTCCTCATCTCACAAGGTTTCACCGAGATAAATCAGGACCGTGCAGCAGGGAGTTCTTTCGTAACGAGCATGATCATGAAACACATGAAGAAACTGATTGCTCTGTCCCCAGAGCAGGGTTAATAACATGCAATAAATAAGGTTTGAGGCCACGATCAGTTTATTGGACAGCTGCTCATCAGTTGAGCATTGCTCTACCTATTGCAGAGGGTTAGGCTGGAGCTCTGCAGAAAAAATGTGTCCTAACCTTGCAACTGAATATACCATGGGGAGCTGCCCAAGAAGCTGAATTTAAGTTCCCCAAATACCCCTAGTTTGCTTTTTTCAAACTTTTGAGTACTTGACTCTGCAGGTTTTATACTGTTTTTTTAAAGACTTGTTCTTCTGGTTTGCTTCTATTGATTTTCTTTCCTTTTCTAAGAAAACTGGCAAAAACCCCACCTCAATCTTTCTAAAATACTGGAACCAACTGATCACTGGTGGGTTTGAAATACTAAATACAGATGTTTCTCTTTCTGGAGAAATGGTTAACGATTAAAGTTGTGCGAAGAATGATTTTTGGTTTTAAAGAGGACAGAGGCTTCAGATTATCCCCTTAAATATTTGCAAATTGTAACTTACGGATTTTGTAAGACTTCCATTGGGGTCAAATGCTAGTGGATCCTGACAGAAGCACCAAAAGGTGTGTTCTTCATAGAGAGTCCTGATATGTTTCTGTGCTTTGAGCATATTGAGGGAAACTAGTTTTCCCGAGCTTTATTTTCAGAAACAGCTGAAATACCGGGACTAACTTTTCCGAAGAAAACCATTTCAAACTCCCATGCAGGATATTGACCCAAATAGTTAACCTTTAGCAAGATCCAAACTACTGACAGCAGTCTTACTAATATTGCATAATAAATGGTGCCGTGGCAGTAAAATGTGATAAACTTGATATTTTTAAGGCGTTCCAAACCTTGCTCTCTTTGGTAGTGATAGCGAGGGAGGTTTTATTACCGTGTTTACCAATAAGTGGTTCCATTTGATCCGAGTCTTGCGTGGGTTAGCTCTGGCCCCTGAGCTCCACGGGAAACGGAGAACCGGGCAATGGGTCTGCGTAAAATTCCCGCTGTCAGCTGGAGAAAAGGAGCAGGGAGGGAGGTTTAGGCAGGGGAAACCACGGGCTGTGGGGCAGCTCCTGCTTCCCTCGCTCACTGAGGCAACTAACAGACTTTTTCTTATAATAATAAAAATTATTAATAAGGTTTTCTTTGCTTCCAAACAGGTATTTTTTGCTTCGGTGAGATCCGGAGGAAGCAGCCAAGTGTTTTTCATGACCCTCAACAGAAACTCCATGATGAACTGGTAACAGAGGAGCACTTGGCGCTCACCGCCATGGCATTATTTCTAATTTAAAGGACATTAAACACGTGGACTAACACTGTAGAGGCAGTTGCGGAGGGCCCCGAAGAACACCGCTC